TTTCCTTTGCAACACTGGAAAATGTGAACAGATTTTCACGCTAACTCAGAACTAACTAACTATACGCTAACTTGGTAGCTCAGGACCAACGCGTTTTGCTGGCCAAGAGCACAGCAGTCCCACCCCTCAGCGAAACGTCTTCTCGTAACCGTATTTCCTTTAATGTGAGATGTGTCACCTAGCTCATCTCTGTCGACTGGCTGCACGCCAAGCATCTATCACCATTAGGTTATAAAAATTTTGTAAAGGCAGCTGTAAAAAATTTATATGTATGTGAACTAACCAGAAAAGGTTGTCCAGGTGTCCCGATCGTGATGTCGCCAAGGTACTCATTGTCTGCATAATCGTGAACCTATAAACCATCCATCTCAATTTTCTGGCTTCTGTAGGAATTTTCGCATGACGCAGGCACCACGGATACTACTGCGCCCGCCGGATGTGGGCTCTGCGCATGGCATTGACCTATAGCGGAACACACAAGTGCGCTCCAATGATATACCCTCTATTTCGGGAAACGAGAAGAGGTCGAGTGCAGACCACACACCACAAGTACGGTCAAGGAAGAAAGCCACACCTTTCTTGGTCGTCACTTATGGTGTGTGGTCTGCACTCAACGCTCGTTTACTTGTGGAATAGACATCGTGGTTTTGAGGGGCTGATAAGTGGAGCAGAAAAGCTAGAGTGAATCATGCCCACCTGCTGTGAATGAATTTCTCCATTGGCTAACGATTTAGACCGCATGGCATTCATCTTCTTCAAGTACTCGCCCCATGTTCCTTCTCTGATCATCCGCTTTCGTAGGCTTTCGAATTTTCGTACAGGTGTTTGATAAATAGTGCTTCCTAACACGTAGCCCATCAGGGCCAGTAAAGCCACCAACCAGCGCATTTGGCCGAAGGGTGATTTTAAGTCTTAACCTAAAAGTAGAGTCGAAGAGGGAACGTTAGCGCAAACTTATAGTTTCATGCAGATGTGCAAAAGTGTACTTTTTTATCAGAAAGTGCAGCAAAGGTAGAATATGCGGAGAAACACGTCAAACACTGCAGTATAAAGAAGCTTCCACTCGCCTTTGAATTGCAGCAACTTTCTAATTAGCAACAAGAATTATTATGTTACAGCACAATTTGTTTCCAACCACTGGAAAATAGCTCCACTTGCCACAATACCACTTTCTCTACTTCTATTTATACGTATACGGGAGTCGTCGTAACCCGTACATTATGTCCAATTTTCTGTTTTGTGTTGACGAGATGCCAGTCACTCTGAGGAAAGTGTAAATTTTTGCAACGGAATGTCCAGAAAACAACTGATGAAATATTCTCCATTCTTCACATTGATTTTAGTCAATTACTTCAATTATGTACTTAGCAGTCTATTTCTATCTATTTTTAGAAGTAATACTTCATAGTGAAGTGAGGTACCTATCAACATTTTATCAATATTTTCGAAAGATCTGTCTGACGCGGTCACTCTGAAGGTAGAAACGCGCGGAGTTTTGAGAGATTAGGAGCATTCGTATAAGTCCCAGGCAGGGTCAACCCTGCGTTGCGCAAATTCCAAATTTTTTGCGACCCCCTCCATTTCAAGGGGTGTCAGTGCGACCCCCCCCTATTGGACATGTGTGTTTTTTAGTGTTACGGTGTATTCCTGTGTGTATCAACGTCTTTGTCCAATAAAGTTGAAGTGTCTCCAATAGTTACGGGCGCTTCTTTGAAAGCTTATATCTTCGTCCACAGGCGTTTTCATGGAACCGGACACCAAAATTTTAAAAATAAAATAGTTTTCTTTCAAAAACATTTGAAATGTTGCGGATGTTCAATATTTCAAAAAATCGTCCCGTTGTTCCGTTTTTTGTGCACACGCGAGTTTTCGACATTCAAACATTCATAACTTTCTTCATAATCAACTTTTTGCAAATGTCTAAGGCTAATTAGAAACTAGAAGATTAGAGCTTTCGAAACAAGCACCTGAAAATTTTCCAGCGATCATTCTTTCAAAAAATAGTCCCGTCGTTCCGTTTTGGGGGGTTTGGGGTCCGATTTTTGAGAAAGCGCGAGTTTCCGACATTAAAGCATTTATAACTTTCTTCGTATTCAACTTTTTGCGAATGTCTAAGGCTAATTAGAAACTAGAAGATTAGAGCTTTCGAATAAGGGCTGAAACTTTTTGAAAAATCACTCGTTCAAAAAATAGTCCCGTCGTTCCGTTTATTTTCATAGACTTTTTTTCAAGCCTTTCTTCTGAACCGCGACATTGCAATATTCAAGAACCCATAACTTCCTTCAAACTTCATAAAATGAGAAGCGGTAAAGATTTTTATGAATTTCTTTCTTCTGCTCAATTTCCTAAGGGGTCTTTAGAATTCAATTCAGCAAGTCGCTACACTTTGTTCCGCTTAGATTTGATTTGAAAGCATCAAAATTCTCTTCAGGAAGTTTGTCTGCTTACGGCCGCTGACAGAGAAGGCGTTTTTATGGGAAAACGCCTGCTCGGGTATACGCCGTGCACCTGTCTGTGGGTGGAAGTCGCACTCGCATTTGAAGGTCCTCCACTTTCCCGAAGAAGGTGATAGTACATGATCGAATTGCATTGTATGTTTTGCGGTACCATTGTGTGTTTTATGGTTTGATGGTTGTTTTACTTTCCCATGAACTGCTCTACACTTTGTCTCCTTGAGACTTCAGGAATGTTTCGAAAGTGCGGTCCGTGTATTGAGGATAGCGATGGCTGATGGTGAGACTTATAATGCATGCATGCTGCATGTCTTTCGGGACCATTCCTCCCAGCCTTTCACCCCCCCTGGTCCCTCTGTATGCGACCCCCCTTTCGTTCGGCCAAATGCGACCCCCTCGTTGTTTCTTTGCGTAACGTAGGGTTGGCCCTGGTCCCAGGGCTGAAAAACTGCTTTTTGGATGCATGCAAGCCTTCGCTTTGTCAGTTTTCTTAGCGATATCTTACGACTGTAAATGCCCGGCCCAGCAGGGCGAATAATGCCGGAAAATGGCTCCTCTAGCGACCCCCGCCTCCAGCAGTCAAGACCTCCGATCGTCTCCTTTCACGACTCCGCATATTCCTGTTATAACAAAGTATTATTTTCAGATGTACAAGAAGAAGGCAGCACCGCTGCCACGCCAGTGTTTCGCGGTTCAAATCTCGAACCTAACTCTGCACAGGCTAGTGCTTTTTCGAAGAACTGGATATGGAAAGGATTAATCTGCGTTTTACGAGAAACCAAAATAGGATCAGGGAGTAGATTTATTAGAGAAGAACGGGAGTGGAAGAGGGAAGAGGGGCTGCCTACAGGCTGTTAACAATCTCGCGCTCCAGCGTAGCGGCACTAACTACCCGCGGTCGCGTCGCGCGCTGTGCCTAGAGCGCGCTAGTTGGAAAAATCGTCAAATGTACCCCCTATTTAAAGGACTATAACTTTCTTCATTGATAACCATTTCAGAAAGTGAAGGCAGCTTTTGAATGCACAAGACTTCTAGTTTCTAAATTGTGCTGAGCGTTTTTCTAAGCACGCCTATTCTCGAGAGTGGGAGACGTCGAGGAATTGTCGAGGAAATTGAAATTTACATGCGAGTTCCCACTCTTTGGAAGACAGTAGCTGTCTTCATTGGCAATGCTTTTGAAAATCGGAGGAAGCGTTGTAAAGTAGAAGATTTGCGCTTCTGAAAAATTTGCAACTGTTTGGGACATTCTCTAGTTCACGACAAAATTGTGCCGAGGGAATCTCAGGATATTCCACTCAAAAACTCTATTTCTTCCTCGCCGTAGCAAGGAACTTCTTTAGAACACCCTCAAAATGCTGTATGGCACGTCATCTCAATGAAGTAAATAGGAAATGATACACTTGGCGCAGATTCATTCCGTTCTGGTATGCGCCATGCAGTGACCCCACTCGGAGTCGTTTGAAAGGTGTTTTGTCTACACGACAACTACTTGTGCAGGCCGAAAGCGTTTCTAGTCTCGATAAATCGGTACAGCACTTATGACCATAGTAGAAAAAAATGATCATGTGTGGCATGCCTATTAACGTGGCTTCATTTTCCGACCCTGGTTCGATGAATGGCGCATTTGGAATCTCCCTGTTTTGAACTTTCTGCTAATATACCTTACCTTCACTGGATTCTCAAATGTGTACTTTGATTTAAGTTTATATTTGCTGCCCATTCCTTACGATTCTTCTGCAGGACGCGTTTCCTCCCTATGTCTTCGTACTAATCACTACGAACCAAATCAGCAAGCACCTTCCATTTAAATTTTAATTCCAGATAGGTAAGATATTATTTGCATTACGCTAACTGAAACACTTGTGAAATTAATGATGACAGCGAATGAGTGGCAGCAGTACCGTCGCTTATGACACTCCTCTCCCCACCTCTCATCGGAGCAAATACGACTCCCTGTCGAAGACTTCCTCGACCGTTATTCACCCTGCCACCCAGTGTCCTTTATGAAGCATCTAGAACATCTGAAACATTTAGACACCGAAAGCGAGCCCCACCAGCAGCGAGAAACACCACTAATCTTTTCTTTCAGATATATCGTTGTCAATTGCTAGGATGTGGACAGGGTCACATGAAGTAGAAGAGACGCAGGCTTTGGCCAGTCTGAAATGATGTTTTTGGTTTTTTTCAGAGGCTACCGTAGCAGACATAGTCGAGCTAGATGTGTTTTCAAGCCATATCACACTCCTATGTAAAATTACGATTGCGCGTGGCGCTCAAAAGGGAGGTACTTTTCAGAGACGATCATCACTTTCGCTGATTGAACAGTGTGACACCCAATGCAAGCATATTCCAAATATTAGCAAGAAATTTCTCAAACAGGCAAACAAAGAGAAATTGAACGGCGCACAGTCACTAGTACAGGAAAATCAAATGCACTAGGACCCTTTATCAATAATCCTACAAGTTGCAAAAAATGGCTTATGGTCTGCCTGGAATTCTACCCGCATTCAAGAGTTGCCTGTAATAGATTCAGGATGTGCCATGTATTCGGGTTTGAGAAAGTGTTGATGACGTTTCAATCCCGCTTATTCTTTGAGTGATACACAGCTCTCACATGTTGCCCAGCTTGACTAGGCTTCGAAGTGCTTTCTGTGCATTTATTTCATCTCAATTTTATCTTCTTTCAATCTCAATTTTGTATTCTTTCCAATACAAGTACCTCGACGAAGTGCATACCAGTCTTAGATGGTAGTTTTCCATGCAGACTTGTAAGAATAATATTTTAACCAATTTCCGATATTGAATGATGGCATGAAGGGGGTCCTCCATGAGAGTTCCAGGGAACTTCTTCCACTTCGTAATAAAACTCATCGAGCAGGTTGATGTGGTGGCAGGACGTAATCCACCAGTTGACTGGACAAGACCCTCCAACTCATATAAACTCATATAAAGAGGGTTGTATAGACTTGGGAAATAAAATTCCAAGGAAGTTAGCTCGTATTTTGAAACCACTGGTCAGTTTAGAGGAGTTGAGGAGTGAACTTCGTAACTAAAAAGTGCACAGGTGGGGCAAAATTACTGGTGCACCTAAATATAATGGATTTTTTTGAATCTTGTTGTACACTTTCTTGTCTAATTCTTTCATGGTATGTAGCTTGAACACTCTGCTACTAATACGCCCTGAACACAAATTGGTTAAGCCTTCCACTTTGTGAAATGCACCAATCAACCTCCAGCAGAGCGCTATGCGAAACCGTTCTCGACGATTTTTCAAATCCCCAAATTTTGTTCAAATAGCGTTCAAACTCGGTATTTGTTCAAAACCATGGGCGTGTCTTCACTTTAGAGAGGATTACTAATAATTTCACCAAAGGGGTAGCTTCAGGACACTGACCGTGAATGGTCCAGAAACAGTGCACCGAGCAAACCCTCAAC